TTATTTAACTGCCACCCAACATAATGTCGAGCTCCTGAGCTACTTCTTTTCTTAAGATCCATGTGCTGCTCTTATGAAATTGAAAGGCTACATATATTTGATTTTTGTGTTCTTCTTAAGAGCCTGGCAAGAGCATTCTTATGAAATTGCAGGTTATATGAGAGTCTAGGGTTTTCAAATTGGGATATAGATACTCTTAGGGAAACACAAGGTATTGTAGGATGTATTGTGGTATTCTGGAGGCTGATGGTATTCTGGACCAAAGGACAAACTTTCAGATAGTCAACAAACATATGTACTTTTTACTGAAATTGATTTACCTATATATGAGTTCTTCTTTCCTACCTCCCTTATTTCAGCTGCCCTTCCACAAAAGATAGGTATGCTTCTCACCCATCCTCAGCCTTACACCAGCCTTTCGTCCATGGTGTAAAAAACTCTGGGCTTGAAACAAAGAACTTCTGTATTTTGGCACCAGAACTCAAAGTATGGCTTCTGTCTTTTCTTGGCTTACACACGTTTCTGGTAAAGGTGAACTGTGGCATGATAAATGAAGTATTGTTGTCCATGGTGGAATGTTCTGAATTTGGATTCAGCATAGCCATGCAGCTATGGGGAAATACGATAATATTCTTTTAATGTTCTCACCTCTTCCATTCCTGAATGATTGTCAAAGAACCCTGAGGAAGAGTTTAACAGTTTTTTTCACCTACTGGAGAACTTTCCACAGAAAGTCTGGGCAAAAGGACAGTGATCCCAGATGGGGATTGGAGATGCAGAAGGAAAAGCAAAGAAAGTGATAAAAGTCTGGGTAAACATTTTTTAAAATGACTCTAAAAAGTAGTGATGATAATAATGTTTATTGAAATTCAAAGAAAAGATACACCAAAAATACTAGACAATAACTGTATCTATGTCAAAAGAATGGGTAATGGAATTAAGGCATTCAAAAGTCCTTGTGTTATCCAGGAGAAAGAAAATAACTTGGTTTCAGATTTTAGACACTGATAAATTAAGCATGCATGTTTTACCTAAAACAATAGAATCAGAGAGTGAAATCTCTAATATAGTAAAGGGAAACGTGAAATTGTAAAATAATGAAATTAATTAAAATAAAATTAATAATAATAAAATTGGAAAAAGGATAAAAAGAAACAGAACACCTGAAAAGAACCCAGATTAAGATAGATTCTAGTCCATCATGGAGCTTACACATTGGAGGAGAAAACGTATAACTGATAGGTGAAATGAAAATAGATGTAATATCACATAGTAGTACATGCTGTAAAGAAAAATCAAATAGGGTAAAGCAGTATGTAGTACCTAGGAGGAAACTATTTTTAGAGAAGGGAAGATCTGACAAAGAAAAAGGAAGCAAGATTCCAAGGCTTTTTATCTTGAATAAGAACAGAGGTTGAGAAGAGGCAGCCAGTGATGTGAGAAAAAGCCCAGAGTATGGCCTGGCGAGGACGGGTCCCAACAAGGAGGGCATGAGCAACTGTGAAACTAAGAATGCCTGCCTAATTTACGACACACATCTTTCCCAGACCTGGGGAACATAGCCAGGAGCAGACTGAGCATCAAGAAGAGTTCGTCACAGTCTCAGTAGGCACATGTAAACCTACAGAACCCAGTGGCTAAGTGCAAGCACTCTGAAGCCACACTACCTCAAGGTGAATCTCGGCTCCATCTCCTTCTAGTTGTGAGTTGTGTGATCATAGGCAAATCCTTTGTGATTTGGTTGCCCCACCTGTAATATGGGTATAATAATACTTGTTTCCTGTGGTTGTTGTGATTACATGAGTTAGTATTCATAACACACTTAAAAGATAGTTGGCATAAAGTAACCAAGACATGAAGTCTTTGTTAAAAACAGAAAAATCTTATAAAGATAGGAAGGACAACGTGGTTTGTAAAGTACCGACTTACATTCTCAACAGGTTCAAGTTGGCACTGGACTTATGTAATTGAATTAATCAGCATGACTGATAGGATAATTATATTGTGATAATAAAACCGCAGGAAATAAACTATGGTTGGAACATGTCTAGTTCTTTGCTGGTGTATTGAATTTAAGATGTATTTTCATATCAAGTTATATTTCAATTGTCATAAGGAATGTCCTATTAAATGCTTATTAATTCAGAGCCCTAACCTTTTGCAGTTGGAATATACCCTTTTCTCTTTCTAATCTAAAATAACCTCAGATGCAAAGTGAAAATAATAAACACTTTATCCACATTAACAGAAGAAATAGAATCCTTTCATGGGAGTAGGTATTCCAACGAGCCAGACCGATAACTTTTGTATAAAACGCTGAATTACGTGCTTTGAAGGATTCATACAAGTTTATAACTCTTAGTAAAGTGAAGGATAAAATGCATACCACAAGGCAACTACACAATGGCTGAATATTCCTAACGAATGACATGATAGTATTGTGAGAGATAAGACAAGGCAGGGCTCACTGGTTGTAAGAAAGTTTCATAAATGAAGTGAGATTTTTATTTGGGTCTGGGTAAAGGGGGTCATTTCAGTTACTACATTTTAGGATATGCGAGGACTCAATCTCTAATGTGAACTTCCTTAGGAAATTACTAGAGAAAGGGCTTCAGCAAAATGAAGGAGTAAACTAAAAGGAAGATACTGGATTCCTAAAATGAAGGCTCCAATGTTAGAAAAGGACAAAGGGAAGTGCGAGGATGACCGCTATTCAGCAGGACCAGAGAGTCACGTGCACATTTTGGGGCAAGAGAACAGAGGGGTTGGGGTGGGGGGAGTTGGAACTGATAGGGATTTGATGTGTTTCAGTGTTTCATTTGATAATGATATTTGTAAGGGACCCGATCCCCTGGAGCATTTGCAAAAAAGCGATGGGTGAATCAAAACCACCACCACCGCCAAAGACAAATGGAAGAACAACATATTTATTAACCTGAGGGGGACAGGTGTAAAAAAAAAAAAAATCACATTACTCGCCTCAACAGTGAATGATATTTACATAGTCATGACAAATACTGCTGACTTATCCAAATATTGTTACAAAACTATTTGCAAAATGGTGAGAATAGGAGTAAAAGACTTAATCCTCAACCACCCTAATTCTAATTTGTATGCCACTAAAAAAAGAAAAAAATAGCAGCATGCAATTTAAAAACAGGGAGGTACATCCCAGAAAAAAGAGCCAAAAAAAGTTGGAAGCATTGCCCCTGGGATGTGAAATTTGGGGAGCGTTTTGGTGGAGGGGTAGACCATTGCAGGCCTTGGCAAAGCATTACATGGTAAAAACAAAACACACTGATTAAAAATTAAAGAGGTGGACAGGAAAATCAAAAGGTTTTGAGAAGTGATTCTGTACAGGGGCCTGACAGAAGGGGCAATAAGATCTCTTTCATTCACACAACAAATATTTATCAAGCACCGTTCTGCTCCAGGAACTAAGCAAGGCCCCATGAATACATTAGTGAATGAACACATATGTGGTCCCTACCCTCTGGAGCTTATATCTTCTAGAACATATAGACAACAAGCAAAAATACACACATACACACATAAGTCATGAATGAAGTACAGATTGTACTTCACAACAGATTGTAGTGATGTGACTAGAAAAACTTATTGTGATAGAAAATGGTGGTGAGGGCCTTCCCTCACAAACTTAACAGAAATAGCCCTTCTGAGATGAGCTGAGACTGGAATCACATGAAACAAACTAAGGAAGGGTGTGTATAGATTCCCAGGCAGTAAGTCTGGTGGGTCTAGAAACTGTTAGAAAGCCACTGTGGCCAGAAGCACCAGAGGTGAGCAGGATGGCTCTAGATGAGATTCGACAGTGGCCCCCTATCATGTTGCTATAGATACCAGTTTGGGGAGTCTTCAGGCAGTAGATGTTTAAAGACAAGGGAAGAGACAGTAAAGAGAGTATAATCCACAACGTCATCCAGAGGAATTCCAACACTGAAATGGAACCAGTAAGAGACAGCAGAGAAGGCCCCGCGGGGAAGTCTGGAAACTTCCTCAACAAAACCCTAACGTTTCTGTCACGTTTCTAAAACTACCCTATTGTTTGCATTTATCTTGACAACGTGAGTTATTTTGCTTTTCAGATTTTTGCATCAGTTCTGGAAATGACTAGAGATATTTATATCCTAGAAAAGTCAATTTACAATTCTTTAGAAAGTTATTTCCTTTTTTGTTTTTTAAATATTTTTTATTTATTTCTAGGAGAGAGAGAGAGAGACAGCGTGAGCAGGGGAGGGTCGGAGAGAGAGGGAGTCACAGACTGAAACAGGCTCCAGGCTCTGAGCTGGCAGTCAGCACAGAGCCCGACGCGGGGCTCGAACCCACGAACCGCGAGATCCTGACCCAAGCGAAAGTCGGACGCTTAACCGACTAAGCCACCCAGGCGCCCCTAGAAAGTTATTTCCTGATCCCCACTGTAAATTATTCCTGGGTAGCCTAGGATCTTCGTTCGAATGCCAGCCACTGGGGTCCCCCCTCTGTGCTTCTGTGGGGTCATATGAAACAGTGCTAGGATTTCAACGGAGTTATCCTTGGGATCATCCGGAGATGCTTGCCCCCGCCCCGCCTCGCCCCCCTTCAAGGATAAACAACACGCCGTGCACTGTGGGTACCGTAAGGAATGGAACACGCTGCCTGGCCTACAGCCAAGGTCGCAGCACTGAGCTCAGCGACCGTCACATGCATCACGATGCGGTTCCGTTGCTTTGGGGATCTCTGAGATTAGAACCTGAGGAGCCATGGCCGCGGGGGCCGCCGCCTCCCCAGGTAACTCAGCAACGCGCAGGGCCCAGGCCCCGAGCCTCGTGGATAGGCTTGGGAAACCGAGACCACAAAAAAAGGCGAGGGTCCAAGGAGGGAAGCAGAGACCGCGACCCGGGGGCTCGGAGCCTGCGCCAGCCCGAGGGCGGCCCATGCGCCGCCTCCATGCGCTCTCCGTCAGACCGCGGCGGCGGTTACTGCTTCCGAGGTCATTTTACCCGGACGTAACTTTAGGGTGCAGACCCGGAGAGCGCCTGCGGGAGCGGGGCAGCCAACCAGCGCCCACATTTCGGGGCAAATGACTCCCGTCTGCCGTCGCGCCGCGCTCGGCTACCGTTTCTTCCCATGTTTGCTCCGCTCAGTGTTCAACGACGCGCGCGGCGGGGCGCCGAGAGCAGAGGCCGCGGGGCCGCCCCGGCCGCTGTCCAGCACTCGCGGCCTGAGTCGGCGCTGCCGCGGCGCCAGTAATGTTGGGGCCCGGGCTGGCGGGACATGCCTTGCAGGGCGTGGGGAGGCTGGGAGCGCGGCCTGTCCTCCCCACGGCCGCGCAGGGAGGAGGAGGAAGAGAAGGAGGCGGCGAGCGGGCGGGACCTAAAAGAGCCCGGGTGCTCCGGGCGGTGCAGGCAGTGGGAACCCGCGCAGCCCCGAGGTGCGCGCGCGCGAGTCCATTCGGGATCTCCATGGGGGGAGTGCTTGCGTCCCGTCGTGTGTGCGGGAGGCCACCACGGCTGTCCCCGCACAGGTTGGACGCGTGCGCTGAGTTGGAAAAGCTCGAAAAGGCGCCGTACTTGCCCAAATCCGCTTTCCAAGAAGGGTTTCCAGCAGCCAATTTGACTCTCGCCTTCCCTCTCAGCCAGAACTGTGGGCTCGCCCGGGGGTCGGTGGGCGGGGCGAGGAGTTGCTGGCGGGATTTTTAAAATTTTGGCGGCTGGGCTCATTCTCCGTCCGCTTGTCCTTTCTGCTGCTGTCTTTTCTCTGTCCTGCTCTGCCATGCCCTGCTCTGAAGCGACACCCGCCATCTCCCCCAGCAAGCGGGCTCGGCCTGCGGAGGATGCCATGCGGCTCCGCTTTGTCCGGCTCTCGGAGCACGCCACCGCCCCGACCAAGGGGTCCGCGCGGGCCGCGGGCTACGACCTGTACAGGTGAGTGGGGACTCCCGACTGCCTTCTGCGAGTGGCCTCCCTACCCCACGCAGAGAAGGTGCAAGTCTGGAGTTGTAGAGTTCTCAGGTTAGCCTATATTCTTGCCATCTGCTGCTACAGCTTGAAACTTTCGCCTAACAGATTACAAAAACAAACTTTTTTGCATTTATGTAGGAATTCATCCTTTTTTTTTTTTTTTTTTTTTACTGTTGAAAATTTTAGTCTTCCTCTTTAGCATAAATTCAGTGAGGATTTGGGATAAGCGTACAGAATGGTCACTACATATAAATATCCACCAAGGCATTATTTGTTGTGCAACATTTATTGTGCCCTTTCCAGGTGCAAGGTAGACACGAATAAGGCCCACCTTGGCCTTCAAGGAGTGGCCTGAGGGTGACGCCGTGCGGAACAGAAAGAGAAGCCTCGGTGGAGTCTAGGTGCGGAGTATGAAAATAATGGGGAAGATTAATGCAGGATGCTTCTGCCTTAAAGGATTTGTTAAATTTCTCTGTATGTCCATATTTAAGTTCAGCCCAAGGACTGGGAACGTCAGAAAGGGCACAAATCTGAAAAGCAGTAGGAATGTCAGTAATTAGTACCGACCACCCTTCCCTTTGCTCAGCACCTTTTACCTCTACTAAAACCTTTACCGTGGGCACTTTTATTTAATCCTCGCAACACTCCTGAAGTAGGTAAGTATTACTTTTTTTTACAGATGAGGGAGTTTGTGACGAGCTGAACTGATTGCCCAAGGGCTTGAATGTCATAAAATTTATGACCCTTAATTCAGTGCCTTTTTCCCTTGACTACAGTGCCCAGTCCTTAGAACCATTAAGGTAGGTGAAAAGTGATGCTGGGCGTTATGGGTGTTCAATACAGGGCTAAATCCTTAGGATTTACTTTAAAGCATCCCACATGATCCTAATGCGAGAACTACTGGTCTCAGTCATGCCCCTGGAGGAGGCAAGAAAGGAGTGTTTGGTGATAGGAGAAGAAAAGTGAGGTATAGACTGTTAACAGCTGAAAGGAATATGGTCAGTCCCTTAGTTTTCATGGCTAAACGTGGAGTGATGTAGTTTGACTACATCGTCTGGGCCCTGTTGTGAGTCACATGAGAGATGTTGATTTAAGATACTTTAACATCCTCCTAATGAACAGAGATGACTGCATATTGAGATAGACATGGAAATAACTTCTCTCTTTAATAAATTAGGGCTCAACTATGAAAAGAGGAAATTCCAATGAAAGAAGTAAAAATGTTAATGCTGCTTTACAAGTTTTCACTAAGATTTCCAAAGTAACTTGCAGTTCTATTCATTGTACAGTCTCTTAAATTTCTATCAAGAAGGGGGCTACAGTAAGAACAATAGTACCAGCATTTGATGGGTGGATCTTAGACAGTTGGGTTTTCAGCAGTGTCCTTCTCGAGGCCCTATTCACAGTGATGAGCGGTGTCCCCCAGCCTGTGAGGTTGAAGGCTTCAGCTTGGTAAGCTTGGTTAACTACCAAGACTAGCAGAACAGATGCAACACAGCTTCTTTTTTTTTTTTAAGTTTATTTATTTATTTTGAGAGAGAGAAAGAGACAGCATGAGCGGGGGCAGGGAGAGCGGGGTTGGGGGGAGGGAGAGAGAGAATCTCAAGCAGGCCCCAAGCTATCAGCTCAGAGCCTGATGTGGGGCTCAAACTCACCAACCCTGAGATCATGACCGGAGCTGAAATCAAGAGTTGGATGCTTAACTGACTGAGCCACGTGAACACCCCATCTTCCTCTTTTTATATCGTGTTAGTGAAACATAAAACTTTTAAGAGTCTGCCTTTCTGGCCCCTCCTGCTAATACGTATTTCAGTTTCCCAACAAAATTTTGTTCAGGGGAGAACAAAATTACATGTTGATACCTCTTAAACCAAAATATTTGCCAGAATGACTATATCTAAAGGTAGCACCATTTTCATAATGGACTAAAAGAGAATATCAGCCATTTTCTTCTTCATAAACTTTTTTTTATATCAATTGGAAACTTCGAGTACTGAACTCTTGGATTGGTTACTGAAATCTAAGATTGCATGAATCGTTTTGTGATTATTTTATGAAATATACTTAAAGCAATTCTGTATACTTAGTTCACAAGGAAGAGCGTATAACAACAATTTTATGAATACATCCTGGTTATTTTCTTTCATTATTTCCCTAGTGCCTATGATTATACAGTACCACCTATGGAAAAAGCTCTTGTGAAAACGGACATTCAGATAGCTCTTCCTTCTGGGTGCTATGGAAGAATAGGTAGGTGATTTGTCAAGCTTTTCTTTTATGATTGTTCCTTCATCTTAGTCCCATTGAGGGTATAAGTGAGGGAAGGGATATTATTCGGCATGTGTCCTAAAATAAGGAAGTGCCAACTGTAATGACAGCTGCAGCCATTTGAAAACTTTAGATTTCATGTAAATATCTGCTTTTTGCCTCCCTCCTTTCCTCGTTCCCTTTCTCTTTTTTTCTGATTCCCTGAGCTTTTAGGAGGCTCACATTGGCCCCAAGAGTTTGTTCCCTCAACTCCTCCCTGAGAAAGTGAAGATACAGGTGATTGTTTTTTTAATTTTTTTTGATGTTTGTTTATATTTGAGAGAGAGAGACAGAGTGTGAGCAGGGGAGGGGCTGAAAGAGAGGGAGAGACAGGGACACACAGAATCTGAAACAGGCTCCAGGCTCCAAGCTGTCAGCACAGAGCCTGTCGTGGGGCTCGAACCCATGAACCACGAGATCATGACCTGAGCCGAAGTTGGAGGCCTAACCGACTGAGCTACCCCGGTGCCCCTAAAATACAGATGATTTTTTAACTGGAGCTCCCCCATCAAGGGTCAGATCGTATATGAGGTCACATGTGAAGACAGTGATGAGAATAGCTAATATTTGTCACATAAGGAAAGAGAGGCAGGTTGGGGTTAAAGGCACATGACATTTTTTATGCTGAGTAAAACTTGTGGCTCCTGCTCGCCCCAGAGTCTGTCAGACCATTTATTTAGACTTTCCCCCTTCGGGTCTCCTTTCATGGGGTGTACTGGGGTCAAGGGACACCCTCCAGGGCACTAGAGGAGACACCTTCTAGCAGGAGGAGCTATGACAAAATGGAGAGCAAGTCACCTGTCACTGGAGAATTCAGAACTTTCTTCAAGAGCACACTTTCTAACTTCAAAGTAAACCTCAAGGCACAAATGGAACTGTGGTGAGGACGGGGCTGGACTACCACCATACTTCTGCCTTTAAAAGAAAAAGGAGATGGGCTCTTTTCTTCATCTCCTTTGGGCAGTATTTGACTGCATTTTGAGAATATGTACACGGGGTGGGGGGAGATCCGGAGATGGAATGAAATAAAAGGAAAAGCAGGATGAGGCAGCCATTAACGGACAAAGTGCCTGACTGAAGTTACTCTGGAACAGAAAACTAGAAGCTAGAATAATTAACGATAGGCCTGATGCTCAGGTCAGCAAGTATAAGGTATAAAGAAAGTTAGCTTTTTATGTTTCCATTTTAAGAATAAAAAGCACAGTGGAACTGAGTTTTTAAGGTTTGTGTTTTGACAGTTTGCTTGACAGTTTTGCTCTTACTCCGGCTCATTTGTTGATAGGGACGGGTCATTTGGCATTTGCCTCCTGAGTGGGTTCCCAAGCTCTAGGCTAAGCTCTGCCACGGGTCGGTTAAGTTAGTGCCTGCTCTCCCCGCCCCCTCCTCTGCCCTGGCCCCACGTCTACTGCTACATGCCCAGACCTCCCATCTGAAGACAAGCCTTCTTCTCCCTCAGCCCTGCGTCCCTTCCAGCCACGGTCCTGCCTTCGTGGCCAGACTTCTTGACCGAGCTGTCTGCGGTCGCCGTGCTTGCTCACCTCTCCCTCTACCCCAGCAGTGCCGGCCCTCGCCACCACCCGTCCCCACGACCCAACGTCCTGCGGGAGCGGTTTAAGCAGCTTTTGAATTAAACTATCAGGTTTCTCTACACTCTTCTTTCCTCCTTCAACACAGGATAATAAATACATTCTTTAATCCAGGACCATCTGCCAAAGTTAAGATGAAGACGTAGATGTTCTAGGAGAGGAGAGTGTCGTGCCTTGAAATAGCCAACTTGTTTTTTTGATTTTTTTTTTAGCTCCCCGTTCTGGCTTGGCTGCGAAACACTTCATAGATGTAGGAGGTAATGTGTTTGCGTTTTCATTCTGTAACTATGTGTATGTATTTATTTTGCCTTTGCGTAAGAGGTAGTAATCAAAAGACAGGCTTTATTTTTATCTTCAACAGAAGGAAATGATTTTTGTTGTGTTTTTGCCTTTTTAGAAATCTCCATCTCTCAAATTATGAGGTAGTTTCAAATATTATTTGATTATATCTAATTTTAAATGACCGTTATGTGAAATACATGTTATTTTACTAATAGGCTAACTACACATTATCTCATGGATAGGATTTCTGCCTTGGCTTAGTGGTAATCTGCATTTGGTCCCAAAATGACTCCATTCTTAGAAGAAAGTTAGTTTTAGAAAGGTAGGGAAAACTTTTTCTGTAATTTTTTAAGCAATTGTGTTTTTCTTATAATTAAGGAATTATTTAAGCAGTAATTATTAAGAAATTCTTTAAGCAAGGGGTGCCGGGGTGGTTCAGTTGGTTAAGCATCTGACTTTGGCTCAGGACATGATCTTGCAGTTCAAGAGTTCGAGCCCTACATAGGGCTCTCTGCTGTCAGCACAGAGCCTGCTTTGGATCCTCTGTCTTTCCCTCTCTGCTCCTCCCCCGCTTGCACACACACACACTCTCTCTCTCTCTCTCTCTCAAAAATAAATATTCAAGAAATTTTAAAAAAAGAAAAATTCTTTAAGCAAAAAGTTCTAGAAAATGCAGGTCAATTTTCTAAGAATTTTTTTTTAACCTGCATGAGAGAACCGTCCATGTTTGATAAAATATAAAAAGAGAATCTTTCCCTTAGTGTGAAGAGAATACACTATGCTTCCCTTTCTATGTTTCTTGTCAAGTAAGCCCTCAGTGGCTCCAGTTTCCCTTATAATCAAGACTTACTCAGGTCTCCCAAGGTCAACAACTTGGTCATGGAGCCCCTTTCTCAAAGAGCCCCCAGTCTGTGCTGGCCCTCTTGCTGTAGGCTCCCTAGCCACCCCTCACTGGCTTTCTCTTTTTCTTTTCTTTTTCTGTTCTTTTCCTTTTTTTTTTTTTTTTTTCCTTTTTGAGAGAGAGAGTGAGGGAGTGTGCAGGGAGCTGGGAAAGGGAAAAGGGAGAGAGAGAATCCACATGCCCAGGTGGGGCTCAGCCCCGTGGCCCTGAGGCCACCACCTGAGACCTGAGCCGAAATCAGGAGTGGGACCCTGAACCGACTGAACCACCCAGGCGCCCCTACTGCCCCTCTGTTCTTCACACTGCACTTCAGTGCTGGGTTTCACCTCACGCCATCCCTGCACCAACCAGGCACTGTGCTGAATGAGCTCACTGTTACCTGCACTGCTGTCCCTAAGTGAGGACTGAGGACCCGCCCAGGCTGTCTCTTCGTCTGCCCTTGGCGTCTCTAGGTGGTGCTGTGAGGCAAGATGGAACCTCAAAGTAGTCCTTAGCCGCTGAAGGGGAGCCAAGTTTGGCACAGACAGCAAGGATGGACAGCCCAGTCGGGTTGAGAATTGCCTGAACTCACTTATGCTTGCTTTTCAAAAATACTTTTATAACATCAAGTATGGTAATGGAGGACTATAACTTTAGGATATAAAAGATTGGATATACTTTTAAAGACATTTCAAAGGGTGTGAAAGGAACATGGGCTTTGAAGTAATAACTCAATTTGGGTCCCAGCTTCATCATTAATCAGCTAGTTATTACTTTTCTGAGCCTCAGTTTCCTCTTCCATAAAATGAAAATTAGTGTGCCTGCCTCAGAAGGCTGGGAAGAATAAAGGAGAGTACATGTAAAGCATCTAACACTGCTTGGCACGTATTACACCCTGGAAGCTATATTTTTTGTCTCCTGGGGAATTCATGGATTTCCTTTTTTTTTTTTTTCTTTTAATGGGGCAACTTTTTTCTCCTGATTTTGTTACTCCTTTTTGCTCTGTTTAAAACAACCTCCTGAAAAAAAAATTCATGTAAAAGAAATGGAAAGTTAGGTTGCCTGGTGGTTGGTGTGGTATTGTTCCTAAAATCACATTGTGGTGTGTTCTTGGATGCAGAGTGTCTTAAAAATGTCTCTTAGGCACACACTTATCATCATTGGCCACTGTTTTTGGTTCAAAAGAGAGATGTTGTTAGAAGTCCCAGGCCGTAAATAAGGGTCAGAGGGAAAAGTTGAGTATGCAGGATTCTGTTCAGAATCCACATCTGGTAGGTGTGGGTAGTTTTCACTAAAGAAGGTTTCCAGCAAATGACATGCCAAAGTCATGACACAGTAAAACTTTTGCCTGAAGTCAGTTAATTACCCTGCCAGTTCCAATGTATGATTTTTCCAGTGATAACTTCAAAATACTTTCTGCATTCTCATGAAGAGAAATATCCCTGATGCTTATGTTCCTTATGTAGAAAAGAATGTCTTGGGTTTCTTTGAAGGTCAAATTGTCTTCGAGTAATAAGTAAACTTGGAACTATTGGATTTTTCATACTATTAGCATTCATGCTAAGAAAAAAAAAGTCTTAATTGAGGGCACTTTTTTCCCTGCCATACATTTTAATTGACTTCAAACGACTTCATTTCTTTTAGTGAGTTAAAGGGCTTTTCTCATTTTTGTGTGCCAAGCATAAAATCTGGGTAGATATCTGGCTTTGCAGAATTCAAGACATTCGACCACATGAGTTTGATTCATACTACTTTATGGATATACGGCAAAGGCCTTTACAAAAAGGGAGTGTTTTTGTATGGTAGAAGATACCAGAAAGTAAAAACAGAAATACTTGCAGGCCATAGGAAAAAGAGTTTAAATGCCCAAACAAATAAGGAAAAAAATCATAAACAAAATCCAGAGGAAGACATACATATGTGCAACAGATATGCAGAGGAGAAAATTCTAGCTTCACTAGTCATCAGGGAAATGCAAAGTAAAGCCAGGAGATACCATTTTTCACTCATCACATTGGCCAGAGTTTGTTTTCGTTTTTTTTTTTTAAGATTGCTGCCATCTGGAACTGCCAAGGACTTTGGAAATGGGCTTTCTTAAATATTGCTGATAGAAGTTTGAATTTTTCACAAAGTCATCCAGAAATATCCATTAAAACTTAAACTGTACACACCCTTTGATCAGAAAAGTGCTTTTTGGAAACTTTTTGAGGAGACTGAAAATCATGAATGTGCAAGGACATCTGTAAAGGACTGCTCTGTCTACTATAGCAAAGATGCAAAAGCGACCTGAGTGAGAGCATGTAAGAGAATAGTTAACACGGGGATAACGGTACTGTATTTCCGTATCTCGGATTTCTTTTTTTTTTTTTTTTTTTTTTTTACAAATAGTTTATTGTCAAATTAGTTTCTACATAACACTCAGTGCTCATCCCCACGTATCTCGGATTTCAAAAGACTAAGACTCGGACTAAGATTCATATTTATATATTAATTGCAAAGGATGTCTGATACTTTTAAGTGGAAAAAAAAGAAAGTAACACGTAAAATCTTGCTATAACACTGGCTACCCAAGTGAGGGTAGGGGAACATGATTAGCTTTTACTTTATATGTATGCCTACTATTTGGGTAATCTAAAATTTTTCTTATAAAGTAGAAACTACGAGTTCGGAAGTTGGTCCACATTGTCTTCCTTGAACCCTTTCTAGATAAGTGAGTACTAGCCTCACTTCAGATTTCCACCTTGGAGATGCCATGGCCTTCTGGGGTCATCTGTTCCAGCATGGAACGGCATGTTCTCTGCAGGAGTTCCTATACTGCATCTGATCCACATTGTCCTCTACAGCCACAACTTGCTGCATATAAGAAAACCGCTGGCCCCATCTTCCTGTCAATCCTTTCAGTATACATTAAGGACTAATTTAATGGTCAGGTGGCAGTGGGGAAAGAAGGCAGGCTTCCGTATTCTTTGAATTGGTCTTTGAATTCTTTGAATTTGCTTCTGTACAACTAGATAAGCATAGACTGTTTCCTCCAGTCTACACATGATATGAACCACTTCTGCTGCCTTTCTGCTACTTTCATACTCATTCTTCCCACTGTTAAAAATTTACTTTAATTCAAACTCTTAAAAGTGTTGTGTCAGGAACTTTTTAAAGAGTGCTTGAATTCACTTTCACTTATCCCTAGTAATTCATTCATAAAACACAGGGATTCATTTAAACTTCTACTGTAATCCAGTGGAAAAATCTAAGTATTTTTCCCTGTGCTGGAACTTTTTAAAAAATTCACTACCCACCATCCTCCCCACCCCCCCAATTTGAGAAAATTGAAAAGGAATGTTTAACCTTGTTCTTAAAAAAAAAAAGGTTTTTTCTCAGTTGACCTTCAAATAATTATGAGTCTGGCCAACCAGTATTAGTACCCATTGAGCTATGTTCCTGATTTTTTTTCTTTTTTCTCTTTTTTTTTCTTTTTTTTTTTGTCTAATAAGAGTTTTGTTTGTTTGTTTAGGAGGTGGGGTGTTACTAGTATGTAAGATTTAATTGGGGTCACATGAACCCTATCTATCGTTTTCCAAACGGAGGGGAAAGAATGAGCATATATAAAAGGAAATTGGCAAGGGGGGCAATGGTGAGGAGGAAAGGAAGTGACTCCTGAAAGGTCGGGGATTTTGTTTGGAGGCAAAGAAAATATTCCCCAAAATTGACTGTGGTGATGGTTACACAATTCTGAATACAATGAAAACCGTTGAGCTGTGAATTTGGTCTCAACAGTAAAAGAGGAAATGGGAAGTCCCAGTGGACCTATATTACCTGTGCTTGTGTTTATGAAAGTGCTTTAAATTCTTGACCCAAGCTGAAATGCTAACAAGCCTGGGAACTCTATCTTCTCTGGGCCAAGGCGGGGCTCTGATGCAAGTTTCTCTCCTGCAAAGATTTGCTTTCCTTGTATTTATAATCTCAAACAGGTACTGATTACACGTGGTTTCACGTAAAAGTGTACTTGTTACTAAGCTTATGTGCTCATGTCTTCTGAGAGACCATGCTCTCTAAGAAAGGATTGTGGCTCACATTAAAAGGCGAGAAAGAATATGAACTGAAAGGTTCACCTCCATATTTATTACAGAAGTGACTGTTCTGATATTTGCCAGACTGGTGCTTAACAGTGTCAGCCTTGACTTCTACGGCAGATCTTCAGGCTTCTTGACATCTTTTATTTATGACTCAATCACATTTCAACCTGGATATTAGTGGGAGGCTGCTACCAGGAAAAGCCTTTACGACCCAAATCGTAATTTTCTCCCAGTCTTTTTAGCAGGCGTGCAGCAGATGAACAGTGGTGTTGGAGGGAGCGGTTCAGGATGACCCACCTGAGATGCTAAGTCCCTATTCCCAGTTTAGAATAGGAAGCGGTCACCACTTGTAAGGGTGACAGGTTGGAAAATCAGGGCCGTGTTATGAATTCTATGTATTTGCATTTTAGTAATATCATTTCTTAGCTTTGGGATTTTACAAGAGCAAGATCCACTTACTCATTTGTGAGGCTAAAGACTTAGAGGTACAGAAGAATGATTTTTGAGGTCATCATATGCCCTCAGTGCTTGGGTGGCATAAAAACCATGCTAATGCTATTTTTCTCTCTTTAGCTGGCGTCATAGATGAAGATTATAGAGGAAATGTGGGTGTCGTACTCTTTAATTTTGGCAAAGAAAAGTTTGAAGGTACGTTGACTACATACAATCCCATAAACGCAGCGAGTTTTCAGTTAGGAGTGTCTAAACAGCACGGGCTTACTCCTCTAAGGCAAGATATAGGGGTGGTGTCAATAAAATATCAGTAATAAACTCTTTTTTTCTTTTTGAAGTCAAAAAGGGTGATCGAATTGCACAGCTCATTTGTGAACGGATTTTTTATCCAGAAATAGAGGAAGTTCAGGTAAGTATCATAAAAGCTGAGTTGGGAGTAAGTGACGTACTGCCTTCGGTGAAGGGAAAAATACAATTTCAAGGATTTCAGATGCTATTTGCAGCTAAATTATAGCAAATGCAAGAGCCCTATTTTAAGCAAAATTAAACTCTTAGAATTTCTTGAAATGTTTTTCGTAGCTATTATGTAGCATTACTTTGGATAATACATCATTTGAATATACTCTAAAATTCTATTTCTCTAGCTATTTTGAAAATTGTCCAATATTTTATTTATGGAGTTTTTAAAAATTTAATTTTGTGTAATCTCCTTTTCAAAAGGATGATACAGCAGGAATAAAAAGTTCTCACAGATTAGGAGCTAGAGAGACCTGAAATTAACTACCTGGCTAGAGGGTCTGAAATTAACTACCTGGCTACCACCTTTATGTCTTTTCAGGTTTTGGATGACACTGAAAGGGGTTCAGGAGGTTTTGGTTCTACTGGGAAGAATTAAATTTATGCCAAGAATAGAAAATGAGAAAACATACTTTTTCTTTAAAAACGAAAAAGAGTCTTTGTTTAAAGTGTTTCGGTGTTTTCTACTTCTCTAAACTTACTAGTGTTAGCTTCTAAAACTGGTTGAGGATTAGGGAAAATATCCCTCAGTTGAGGTCACAAAGAAACTTACTGGCTTGTGTTTTTCTACATGTGATTGTTGTATTAATCCGTTTGGCGACCTAATACCAAGTGTTTATTTTTTTCATCAAATGTATATCAATTACAGATCCAAAAATGCTTGTATTATTTAATTCACTAAATGGTGCCTCTTTACTTTATTAAATTGCTTTGTAAATCATAAGTAGTACCTTTCATTCCATAAATTCGAATTCTTTCACAGATACAAATTATTGCATAAAATGAACTAAAAAGAAGTTGAAGTCACTCCTTGTCCGTCCCTTCTCTTCCTTGCTCTCAAACATGGTTTTGATCTTAAGATTCTTTGAGACCTTGGGAAGAAGAGCATCCTCAGGTTATTTTTTCATTTTTATTTTTAATTTTTAATCATCCTTTTGGTAGGCCCCGGTTTGCAGGGTAGAACTCTGCTTGTGAAAGGAGATGCAGCATAGGGGTTTCCAGTTGGTTCGTCCTTCTGATTTCATTCCATCAAATAAATGGTACAAGTTGTGTGCGTTTCTCTCGCTGGCAATAATAGAGCATAGCCAAGAAGACAGGCAGTTTAATAAAGGGATAAAGTAGAGCCAATGATGTGCGTTTTAGGCTCCATCCCCAGTACTTCTGAGTTAATACGTGTAAGCAGCATTTAATCGCAGGTAGGGGCTGCTTCTGTGGATTAGCTTGTGATTAACATCATTTGCAACCTTGTAGGCGTGGCCCCCTGCACTGTATTGCCCAGGCCCCTTTGCACAAGGGCTGTGGGTGTCCCTTGGGTTTTGTGGATCAGATGCACTAGCGGGAGGCTCATGAGAAGACATTGTTTTGTGAGTGTGGGTCGTGCAGATGGAGTGCTTCTGGAGCCGACAGCTCTCCGCTGCCCCGTTCCTGGAAGCCCAGACTAGAGTGTGTCTTCCGTCCTTACAGCGATTCTTTAGACCTTTTCGTCTTTAGACTGTTTTGTAACCTGCAGTGTAGCATTTCCCATCTGTCGGTCACAATTCATTAGTGAGTCATGAAATCAACTCCTCTAATGCATTTTTAAAAATGAAATAGGGAAACAGCAGAGGACAACACATGTCAGTTGGGTAAATATTGTGAACATTGTTTGAATTACATATTCATGTGTTCATGTTTATACTGGTCATGATATAAATTATTTCTGCAGTCAGTAAAATTTAAATAAATCTCATTCTGCTAAACTAGTGGTTTCTATCCTCTGAACACCAATACATAGTAACAGTTGAGTAAGAACAAATGGTACGATATGACTGCCAAGGGATTCGGTCTTAGGTTACACTGTTAATGTTAGTTCCCACTTACTGAAAATCCACTCTATTAAGCACTTTAGAAACTGTTTTTTTTCTTCTCATAGCATACCTGTGGGAGAGTAGATAAAAAACTTTTTTAAAAAAATTGTTTAAGGTTTATTTATTTTTGAGAGAAAGTGTGGGCAGGGAGAGGGGGATACACAGAATCTGAAGCAGGCTCCAGATTCCAAGCTTTCAGCACAGAGCTCAATGTGGGGCTCAAACCCATGAACTGCAAGATCATGATCTGAACCAAAGTTGGATGCTTAGACTGAGCTGCCCGGGTGCACTGGTAAAACACTCTATAGGTGACAGAGGCACAGAGGCATTTAGTAGCTTGCTTCACATTTCAGCTGAGATGACCACTCTTAAAACTCAGGTCCTGTGGCTTGAAGCCCATGTTCTTTGCGGTGCCGTCAGTCTTGTAAGTGGTAGACAGCACACAGAATGGAAGAGATGGTGAATGAAAGTTCTCTAGCATGTTCATCCTGGCGTCTTTCCATTTGGGCACCAGGCTTATGGAAAGTTGTTCACATCTGAATCTACTCTGAAAGTTAGAGACTTGGAACTGTGTTCATGAGGGATAGATGGAAGATCTCTGGTGGGGACATTGTAGAAAAAGCGTGTGTGTTGGGGGTGGGAGAATGGGAGGAGAGGTGGCTATAGAAGGTCCCTAGGTGTATGACAGATCTTAGATAAAGACTCAGAAAGGGAATTAGGTTTGTCATATGTGACCTGAGAGGCTGGAACTAGGTAGGATCAGTGCATTTAATCTATAGAAGATGGTGGCTGTGAGATAAGAGAAAATACATATTGGTCTCTGCCCCGGATTCCTGGCATGGAGTTCCTACACCACTGTCATTTCCTAAGTGATAAGAGCACTAGGCACATCTCTCATTCTAATATTGGCCTTTGACCCCAGTTGCTCACACAGAGCTCCTGAAACCCTTGTAATCTACTGGGTGATGACTGTCTTGTTCAAGTGAGGTGACTCTGGGTGGCTTCCTGAGTCCCAGAAAGACCACCCCATGATTAGAAGCTTAGAACTTCTAACCCCACCCCCTATTCTCTTGAGACAGGAGATGGGCTAGAAATGGAGTTAACGGTAGATCACGCCGACATACTGAAGCCTCCATAAAACCCCAAAAATAGGGGATTGGGAGAGTTTCCGGGTTGGTGCACACTGGAGGTGCTGGGAGAGCGGCACAACCCGGAGAGGGCGTGGATGCCCCGAGACCCCGCATACCTTGCCCTACTCACCTCTTCCATCTGGATCTTTTATCATATTTAATAAACTGTTGAACGAAGGTGTGTCGCTCAGTTCTGTGAGATGCTCTAGGAAATTAAACTGAAAGTTGGGGGGGCTCCCTCGAACCTCCGATCTATAGCCGTTTGGTGAGCAGCAGAGGTGACAACCTGGGCCTGTTATTGGCATCTGAAGTGTGTGTTGGCAGGGCTGGGGGCCAGTCCTGTGGGACTGAACCCTTAACCTGTGAGATCTGACCCTCTCTCCGGGGAGCTAGTGTCAGAACTGAGTTAAATTGTAGGACATCCTGCTGGTATTACAAAGAATTGCTTGGTGTAGGGAAAAGCCTCCACACAAGTAGTGACCAGGAGTTTTTTACTTGAGTAGGAAAGATGACAAACAGGAGAAAGGAAGGCAGACCTGAGTTCTTCCCTACAGAGGAGGGAAATGAGCGGAGTTTTTTCTTCATAGTGGCATAAGGGCAGACTCATGGAACTTCCCTAAGAGCAAATTTAATGACAGCAAAGAATATGCCATATGAAGAGCCAATCCTACCAGTCAGTTGGGTTGGGCTCACTGGTGACAAATATTCTGTGTTAGATATGCAGAGTTTGTGTATTGTATACTAATTTTACTTTGTTTTATTGTGAAATAAAACGTTTAAAAAGTTATAAAACCAAACCATTCTATAAAACCAAAGTGTACAATATAGTGAAGACCTACAAAACAGAACACCTAAATGGTGGTCTGGAAAAAAAAGATAAAAGTGCTGTGCTAATAAGGCCTGTTTCCGGAGCCCACATCAGTTTGGTTTGATCCCAACTGGGTGGATTTAGTTGGTGGGAAAAGGCAAAAGGGTCCATTTATAAGGGCCACTTCTTCCACCCCAGTAGAAAGGACACCGAAGGTGTTTACTGGTGGCCAAAGAGAAGCATCAGTGTCACATATAGGACTGTACCTTGTGACTTTTAGATTAACTACAAGGTGACTAATAATTACCATAGTATCAGTTTCGGAACCTCGCAGGCAGAAACCAGGTAATTTTCTTCTTCCTTGACAGTTTCCTGCCCACTAATGGTGCCCACCATCCATTCCTGTCCTTGGTACTTTATACATCAGGAGAGAAGTAATCATGGAGACTCCTACAAACATCCGATGCTCCATTAGTTAACTTGCCTTGGTGGCTAGTTGCAGAGGAAGCCACAAACCAGGACTTACACAACTGGCCTTGGTGGATAGGGAGGCCAAGGCCCAATATTTGGGTTTCAGAGCCCGTTCCCTACAGGAAGATGGAGAGAGGGCCACCGGGCCCTCTCCATCCCACCGGAAAGGAGATACCAAATGATTATTAACTCTAGTTCATTTTCAGTCTTATTAGTGGAAGAATGATGGAAGGCTGGAGGGCTAACATATGTAGGCACCTGGAGTTTTGTGGATATATCAGAGTTTGAGGTTAGTGGACCTCAGACATACTGGCATTCTCAGTAGGACTCCTACTGCAAGCATCTTGCTTTATTTAACCATTCCCAAATCACTCTTGGTCCTATTTCTTTTCTTTTCCCTGCATCTTCAACTCCAATAGTGATCCCTATTATGAGAGTACTAATAATTCATACTTCACTCTGCCTCCCAACTTCTTTTCCCTATTGATAACCTCTACCGTATGCCCTTAAGGTAGCAGTGATTGTCTGTTGATCACATGAACCGCAGATTACAGAGAATGGTAGAAACCATAGGCCAATGTTCAATGATAATATTAGTAGTAATATTTATAGATTCAGAGAGCATCCCTAAATATAGAAAGAGCTTTATATGCAAAACCCACAATCTTTCTTTTTTTTTTTTTTCCTTAGTGGATTTATTTTGAGAGAGAGCAAGCAGGAGTGGAAGGTGGGGACAGAGAGAGGGAGAGAAGGAGAATCCCAAGCCGGCTCCACATGGTCAGTGCAGAACCCTATGCAGGGCTCTGTTCCAAAAACTGAGAGATCATAACCTGAGCCAAAGCTGGTCACTTAACCCACTGAGCCACCCAGGTGCCCTGGCATATAATCATTCTAATAAAGATAATAGTGGAATCTTTGATCTGGCATTTAAAGCCACCTTACCTCTGCTCATTAGTGTAAAATATACAATTATATGTAACTGACCCAATCCTTTTAGCTGAGAAATACCCTCTAGTATCATCATTCTGAGAAGATAGGTGAAGTGGGGGGAAATAACTTCTCAAAAGTGAAAATAGAATGCCTTTAGCTGAAGACACCTCTCCATGTGGAGATGGATTATGGACACAGTGTTTTGACAGTACTTTTCCTTACTGAAAAGAGAATGAGAAAAAGGAAACAAATGAAGCTGGGATTCT